GACTACTCCGATTTCGGAGACTATTCCGATGATCGTTCCGGCTACTGATCCAATTCCGACGACTATTCGGTCACATAAAATTTTATTGGTCACGAATCAAAAAATTACAGGTCACAGTTAGGTCATTTTTTGTTTATCGATCACATGTCAAAAATTTTGTAGATCAAGGATTATTTCGAGGTCACAAATCAATAAAATTATAGGTCACAAATTATTTTATTGGTCACGGATCAAAAAATTACAGGTCACAAATATCTATGAGTCACATATTTTCAAATTTATTGGTCACAGATTAATTTTTAGTTACAAATTGTCAAATTTTAAGGTCACAGTTAATCCATTATGTGATTTTTTTTGTAACCACCACCGACTTCTACTTGTGACCACCACCTCACCACCGCCATTGCCACAGTCGCCACCATCACCACCACACCATGACCTCCAGCAACCGTCACCACCACAAAATCGCGCCCCTGCCACAGCCAAATTGCTCCCCAGCACAAAACTCACCTCTATCGCCAGATCAACTATCGCCATTAGACCCACCACCATCGCCAACAACCACACAAATAATTCACGGCCAGATCGTCGCTACTGCAGATCGCCACCAAATTCACCAACAGTAGGTACACATTTAATTGATCCAATTGCTGCTCAATTGCCTCGAAATTTGATCCCCAAAGTCGCAACTAGGATAGTTCCGTTAATTGCAATTGGTGGCCAAATTACACAACATCGATATCCAACACCACCACACAAATTACACAAATCAGCACACACAAATAACACAAACCAGCCACTTCCACCGCCGCCGGCACTCAGATCGACACTGGCACGACTTCGCAGCAGAAGAGGTGCATCAAAGCTCGTCGCGGCCACCTCCACCACCTACCGGCAGTGAGCGAAGACGATGGAGATGAAGAGTGGTCTCCGACAGTGGGCGAAGACGGTGGGCGACGGCGAGTGAGGAAGAGGAAATGAGTAAGACGAAGAGAGAGTGAGAGAGGAGTGAGAG